ATGATTGTGACAGTGCCCCAACCCAGGGGTGGACACTGCTATGGAAGCTCATCTCTCCTCAAAACAATGACCTAGCCCCCTGGCTCACCAGCCATCAGTGAGAGAAGAGCACTAGCTTCCAACCTCCCAGCCCCACTGAATGAAGCCAACATGGTTCATGTTGCATATTATCTGGGGAAGCCCCACAGGGTGTAAGTGGGACTCTTGGGCACACACAAAGATGGATGAATCTATCTGAAGGAGGCATGTACTATTCAACTTACTCATATGACTAGTCTAACCAAAACCACTCCTTCACCATTCCATCCCCGAATTTCAACCAGCATCAGGTAGGGCAAGTTGTAAGATGCTTTGCCATCAGGGGGCCTTTGATCTAAAGGTAGTGAAGGAATCGTAAGTGTCCTGAGATGTGCATTACGTAAGACAATACAGAGTAACAGGGACCAATTAAAATAGACTTCTGCCCTCTAGCAAGCTCACACCCCAATCACACACACACACACACACACACACACACACACACACACACACACACCGCGAGCCAGGGGCAGGAAGGAGAGGAAGGATCTGGGCACACGTGCGTCCTGCACACACATGTGCCCTCTTACCTGACCTGAGGCGGACGCAGCAGCAGCGGAGCCAGCAGTGGGGGCAGCAACAGCTGATCCCCCAAAGGTAAGTGGGGCAGAGGGAGCTGGCACAGCTGAGTCAGATCTGGATGGGAAGCCCCCCGTGTCACTTTTAGTTGAGCCGGTAGGGAGCCATGCTCCTGAGCTGCGCCACGCAAACAGTGTATGCAAATAGGCGCACCCTGTAAGAGCGCGCTGGCATTTGCGCTGGTGTTCGCTCTGGTGGGTGGGCAGGAAGGGCCAGGAGGGAAGACTCCTGCAAGGGTGGGGCAAAGGCACCACACTAAAATGTAAACAAACAGTAACTCACACAATGGTGTCGACGCGGAGTGCTGCTAGGGCCCCTGCCTGGAGGGTGCCACCTACCCGAGGCTTGTCTGAGGCCTCCACCCAGAGAGAGCCCATGCGGGAGCTGGCGTCCCCCTGCCCACCGGCTTGCAGGGGATGCCCAGCAGGGCTGGGGGGGGGCAGGGATTGGGGGCCCACACACCTGTCCTATAGGCGCCTGTCTTAGGGCCTTGGAGGCGCAGGTGAGGAAGCTCCAGGAGGAGGTTAGCAGGCTTAGGGGAACCAGGGAGGCGGAGGATGAAATTGATGGTTATTTCCTTTTCCTGCAGGGCCATGCACCCAAGGAAGAAGCACCTCGGGAGGTGCCCTCCACAGCAAAGTAGCAGATGGTCACCTCCAGAACCAGGGCTGCTCGCAGCAAGCAGTACCAGTTCCTCCAGTCCGGCTGGAGAACAGGTATGAGGCCCTGGCGACACTGCAGGAGAAGGAAGGAGAGGAGGAAACCTCCAGAGGGAAGGCAACTCCACACTCTGAACAGGCCAAAGGAGATAAGCAGACCCGGAGGAAGACACGTTGAGTGATCGTCATAGGTGACTCCATCTTGAGAGGTACAGAAGGTCCCATCTGTTGCCAGGACCCCTCAACACGCAAGGTCTACTGCCTGCCCAGAGCAAAGATTCAGGACGTGACGGGGATGATCCAGGCCTTGATCCAGCCCACCGATTACCACCCCATGGTCCTAATCCATGTGGGTACCAATGATGGGGCCAGGAGAAGCCCTGATCACTTGATGATGGACTACACTCTGGGGACGTGCTGAGGGAGATAGGGGCACAGGTGGTATTCTCTTCTGCCCTACTAGTGAGCGGACGTGGAAGACGACACAAGACCTGCATCAGGGAGACCAACTGGAGGCTTCGGGAATAGTGCCTCGAGGCGGGCTTTGGTTTCCTAGATAACGACCTGCACATCAGGACGAGAGACATGCTCGGGTGGGACAGGCTTCACCTTTCCCCTAAAGGTAAGTGTGCAGGCCGGGAATGGTCCGAGGCCCTTTTTTCGCACGGCAGGCTGTGGCCAGCAGCCCGGACACGCCGGGTCGGGGAAGGCAGGCGGCATGCTAGAATTAGGCACGGACGCTTAATGGTTGTTTAAGATTGTTTACTTACACCGTACATGGTCGCGGTGCAGGCTGGAAAGCTTCCAGGAATACTTCGCTTAAGTCCCAGTTTAAGGACTCGGACAGAGCTCTGGATTCACTCACAATTCTCTCACACAAAGTTTGCTAGGCTCCATGGAACTTTGCGTGCAGGGAAGGGTACGTCGAGGGATCGTTCGGCGACGGAGAGAGGCGAGAGGCTGATCAGATCCCTGTTGCCTTCTTGATATTCACGCTGGGTCCAATAGGCTCCGCAGCATTTAGAGATCTTCACGAGACGTGAAGTCTCCTCCTCCTGGTGTTCGTGCAGTTCTCCAACTTGGGCGGAAACCACTCAAGCCTCTTATACGGCTAGCAAACCAATCGCTAGCCGCCCCGGAGATTTAGAACTGACCAATAGTGGGGCACGAATCTGAATACAAATGGCGGGAACTCCTTGCAACGTGCATTTCTGTGTTGCAACGAAGAAATGCACCCTGCAAAGAAAGCTATAAATGGCGGGAAATAATTTAGCAGTGCCGAAGCACACACAAACAAAAATCACACCCTTGGGTTGTGACAGTAAGCATGCGTTCTCTTCTAGGTTGGTGGATCTCCTCCGGCGGGCTTTAACCTAGGCTCGTCAGGGGAAGGAGAAGACGAGGGCAGAGGAAGCCTTGGACCACTAAACCAAGCGTCGCCCACAAGAACAGACCAGCCTAGACTGACGACGAGCAGAACAAATACCCAGGTAAGCAACAGGGGCTAGGGCAGTACTGAGAGTAGGGGGCCAGTGCACACATCTTCAGGAGGCCTCAAATGCCTCTACACAAATGCTTGTAGTATGGGGAACAAGCAGGAGGAAGTTACCCTCCTGCTAGCTGACACCAACCCAGACATAGTGGGCTCACAGAAATGTGGTGGGACCCAACACACGACTGGGCGGTGAATATCAAGGGCTACAGGCTCTACAGGAGGGATAGGACAGGGAGGAAAGGTAGGGGTGTGGCACTCTACATCAAGGAGGAATACACATCCTCAACAAGTAGCACTGGGTCAGAGGAGGGGCACTGAAGTGCTCTGGGTTAGAATACAAGGAAGTCAAGGGGAAAGGGACTTAACGGTGGGGGTCTATTACAGACCACCCAACCAAGGGGAAGAGCTAGACTGGGAATTCTTAAGTCAGCTCACGGAGGTAGTTAGGTCAAAGGATGTGGTCATCATGGGTGACCTGAACTTTCCAGACACCTGCTGGGAAGAGCAGTCAGCCAGGTCTGACTGCTCATGTAGGTTCCTAGCCAAAATAGAGGACATCCATCTAACCCAGGAGGTGCATACCAGGGGAGACACCTTGCTGGACCTGGTCCTGGCCATGGGTGACGACCTGGTGAGGGGGCTGCGGGTGCTCGACCACCTGGGTGACAGTGATCATTGCCTGCTGGAATTCACCATCCAGCGCAAGGTAGCAAAGGCCTGCAGCAAGGCAGCAACCCTGGACTTCAGGAAGGCAGACTTCAATGAGATAAGGAGAATAGCCGGGGAGGCACTGAGGTCCCGGAGGGGAGAGGAGTCAGGGGTCCAAGAAAAGTGGTCATTCCTTAAGGAGACGATCCTCCAAGCCCAAAGGGAGGTAATCCCAACACGGATCAAAGGAGGCAAGAGGGCGCAAAAGCCCCCATGGCTCACCAAAAGCATACGGGAACGTCTCCTAGCTAAAAGGAAGGTGTACACCCAATGGAAGGGAGGGGCCATCACCAGGGAGGACTATACCTGGGTTGCTCAGGGCTGTAGGGGGGTGGTTAGGAAGGCCAAGGCGGAGATGGAACTGGGACTAGCTACCCAGTTCAAGAACAACAAGAAATCCTTTTTTAAATACATAGGGGGCAAAAATAAGGTACCAGGTAACGTGGGGCCTCTGCAAGACACGTTAGGAAATCTGGTTGTTGCACCAGATGACAAAGCTAACCTATTTAACAATTTCTTGCCTCCATTTTCCTAAGCAGGGACTGGGTCACCCCCCACAGGGACCTCCGTAGGCACCAGGGGAGGCGCACCCAGAACTAGGGTCAGTAAGGATCTAGTCAGGGAACTTCTGGAGGGGCTGGACGTATTTAAATCAGCTGGTCCTGACGATCTCCACTCCAGAGTGCTGAGGGAATTAGTGGAGGTCATTGTGGGACCCCTGGCACGGCTTTACGAGCACTCGTGGTACTCTAGTTTAGTGCCAGAGGACTGGAAAAGGGCCAATGTGGTTCCTATTTTCAAAAAAGGGAGGAAGGAGGACCCAGGAAACTATAGGCCAGTTAGTCTTACC